TAGTCTCTTTGGGAATTATTTCTATTCTTCACTTGGTATAACCCTAAGGAATTATCAAACATATTCTTATCTATAGGTCTAAGGAGATTACCGCAAGAAGGGTTTCAGGAATCCAGTGGCAAATATACATCAAATAGAAGTTCCCATTCTCTGTCCCATTTCCCTTTATCTTTACTAAAATCCCTTTAGAATCGCTTCATAACCCTATCTAATCCCATATAACCCTTATAATTATAACCCCATTGGGGAGAAACCCCATTTCTCCTGCGGAGTGCGGTATTCAGACCATAAGGAGACTTGACAAGCATCTCTCTCATTCAGGACTCCTGGTAGTGGAAATACAGGAGTGTCTTTGGAACCTTTAAAGAGAACGGGCTGCCCTGTTTGGTCCTTGGTTGATGCTGCTGCATGATGGAATCATGGATTGAGTTGTTTGATGTTCCAAGCGTACGCGGCAGCTTTGGTTCAAGGCGGCAAGCTCGCCTTGGGCCTGCCAGGGCCTGCCAGGCATATCACAAAACCATGTCAACAGTGTCAAGAACATCGCGCATGGTGCCAAGGGTTGTGAGGCTGTGTCTCCCCCTCAACTCTTGAAATGCCCAAGAAATGCTGAAGTGAGTTACGGGTCAAAACCAGTCGTCAACCCGCCGTGTCTTAAAGACTTCTACCACGTGACCCACCCTGCCAATATGCCTTGAAGGAAGCCATGCTGGCGAAATCCAGAGTCATAAGACGCATCATTATAGCAGTTTCCATTTTATTTGCCGTGTCCCTATCTAACTAACCCCTATTTATACGCTGTTGTATTATAGTGCTGTCTATGCGTGCTTGGGGCCTTGCATTGCCCCTGCTGCTTCAAAGTTTTTACCGCTGGACGTGCAACAGCGGTCCAACAACAGGCTGGGAATTGGGTTTTCTCACCATCTGGGTGCCTCTTCTAGTCAGGATTCTTCGAACTATATTGGGGTTATATCGGGGTACATTGGGGCAATGGAAAACAAAATGGAAACTACTATCACAGGATAGCTTTTTGGGCGGATGACCAAGATTGCTTTATCTGAGGGGTGCAGACTGATTTTCCAGAAAATGCCAGCAGCTGCTCGTTTCAATTTTCACTAGAAGTGGCCAACTAAGAAGCCTGCTTTTGTGTTAGTTGCTGCGCTCGTGAGTCTCAAGTGCTTCGCCAACATAGGACAGAACAGTCAAACAGACCAAGCAGTCCACTCATGTACCTGCTATCATGCTTGTGGTCGCCTGCTTCGCATTCAAAATGTTCACAGTCCCATCCCTGGCGGCAGTCCTGTCTTGGGCGGCTGCATGGCAATCCACGCATGAACGCAAACCTTCCCTCACAGAGTGCACAGAAGTTGGGCTACAATCATATGGCCATAGCCGTGTGGAGAATGTTTGCCGCACGATTTAAGCGATACAGCTTGAAGGGTACAGCCGCGCAGTGCTGAGCAGGAGCTCTGAGAACCATCAGCTGAAGTATGTGCATCGCAGGTTTTCTCAAAGGCCAACTCCGACGACCCGCCGGCCGGGAGCACAGACAACATGCATATATCATTTGACTGCGCCCAAGAGGCCGTTGCCGACCAAAACACAGATGCAAGCAGCTGGGTGATGTACTTTTATCTTTTATCTAATGCCATTGTCTACGGCCGCCAAATGCATCTGCAAGCCTCAGTTTTTGGCACATTTCTGCACACTTCCTTTGGCCGTGTTCCGGGTAGAGGCAAACTCTGCCATGCACAGTTAGGCTGGCGAGCCTAAAGCAGATCGGCACACCAGTCTTTGTGCAAAGGCGCATACTAGCCCAAGTCAGCAGTTGCCATTGATTTTCATTGTCTGTGCAGGCAAATGAACATAAGCGTGAACATCATGGCAGCACTGGCACGAGTAATTCCGTCAATCGACTGAAGAAGACAAAGTTGTGTATCATGGTCCTCCTGCTCCTCACCATAATGATGGTGGAAGTGGCGGCGTTGACATCGCAGTAGTACATGTGCCGCTGCTGATACCAAAGAAATCCAGCATGACCTTCTGACTAGATTTCCATGATTGCTGAGGGTTCAGGTAAGTAGGGTTACGCAGATCAACAGTATATGGAGCCACTGGATTCAAGTGCTGCCCAAGACCGTAACCTGCGCTGTTGGGACAGCGGGCCTGAGGTCGAGCATCCCCCTTGAAGTGGAGGATGGCAGGCATCTTTTGCTCCAATCCGATTTCCATCTCAAGCCAACGATCGCTACTATCACTACTGCTACTTTTATTGCCATTGATTACGATGGCTGAATCAACAGGCCCTCGAAGCATTTTCAGAAGTTCCGGGGCCGTCTGCGAAGGTAGAGTTTGCTTGGGGCGGCCGCCCATTTTCGATGCATAGCTATTTGCAAAGCTTGGACATCTGCAGATTTCCAGATGTATAGTACGAGCTAGCGGCTGCATTTCTCACCGGCCACTGCCCTGCTCACTTGCAGGATTCTTACTTAATTTTCATGAGTTACCTTCACTGGTAAAACGTGGCCTGCAGAGGCTACGCAGCCGCAGGCGGTGAGGCAGGAAAGAAGTTGATGGAGGAGGCCCAGCAGTTGGAGCAGAATGCGTCGGGGTGCGGCAAAGTTCTTGAGGGGCGCGTTCTTTTACATAGTACTCAAGAGAGCTTGAGCCGGCTCATGAGTAGAAGTTTACAAGTCCTGCTGAGCTATTATCTAAACTCTTTAAAGGGGGTTATATAGGGGATTTTACAGGAGAGTATTATAGGGGTTATGAAGGGGGATACTAGGAGTTTAGACTATAGCTCTACTGGTGCCCTAGCACTGGCTCAGTAGCCTTCATGGTAGCAGGCAGTAAGCGCACGCTGGAGGAAAAGATGGGTAGCAGAGTCCTGTCCAACGTACAGAGATCTTTCTTGGCTTTCAGACTTGAGCTATTGTATTTTGCCCATTTTTGGGTACTTCCAGATTTTTTCACAAACCCCAGGATAAAGTTTCCATCAACAACTGGCATGCTTACCTCCCAAGGCCAACAGCCCGAATCAGTTCTGAGCACCTCTACATACAGCATCCTAAGAAGTAGACTTCAGCAAGCATCCCTGTGTATGTAAGGCTAAATCCTCAGCCCATCTCAGCCCCAGTACTCCAAGGAAGGGCTGAACCCTAAACCCTATAAACCCTGGTCCAGTAGGCGCTCGTCTGGGTCGACTGCGAGATGACGGGCCTGGGAGGAGAGGGGGGGCCGGGCGCGGACGCCTTGCTGGAGGCTCCGTGGAGCGCGCACTTTGGTGAGTACCCTGAGGTCCCTCTAAAGGGGCTATGTGGACACATACTGTGGCGTTTGAAGAATGAGCCAGGTTGCTCAAAATGGTAGTTTATCGGGGGATGTTTGGGTACCATGGGGCTAGCGAACCATATGGCTGATTTTTGAAAAACCCCGTCGTTGTGGTGAAAGTGCACCTGCTACTGCTACTGACACGGGCATTGGAGAGTTGACACGTGAGACAGATGGGGTTTGGGGTTGAGGATTTGTGGTCTCAAAGTTTCAGGAAGGGTCATCTGTGTATGCGTAGCTGGGCACTGAAGTTACATATGTTGTAGGAAGAAGAAGAAAATGTAGTCCAGGGATAGAGGGATTCACTGGTTATTTGTTGCGGCCCAACTTGATGTTCGTTGCTTTGGTTTTGTGCACGGGCTTGGACCTGAGGGCTTTTAAGGAGGGGTTTCCTTGGGAGGCGAAAAATTTCAATGGTTGATGTCCGCGGACATGAGTGCGGAGTTTTGTGCTTTTCTGTGGGCATACGGCCACAGAGCACTGCTCAACGCCGATACACTTGTTCAAACTTTGTCGGTTCCATACTAGTGACTAGTGATTGCTAGTCAGCTAGTACTTTGCAGTTGCTAGTTGCACATGGTCAGGATCTAGAGGCGCTGTTTAACCGAGCCATCCTCAACAACCCTACGCCCAACACCCTGAAGCCCTAAACTCTAAACCCCCAAACCCTATACCCTGAACCTTGAGCCCTACCTTCCCAGAACCGGAGACCCCAGCCAGCTAACCCCTAAAACCCCCAAACCGCCAAAACCTAAACTACTCCACACCCCAAAACCCTAAACCCCAAAACCCTAAACCCCAAAACCCTAAACCCCAAAACCCTACACCCCAAAACCCTAAACCCCAAAACCCCAAAACCGTAAAACCCGGGGGAGGTAGCCGTCATCATCACCGATGGCGACCTCAACGTGGTCGCCGAGGGTCCCGACCTGGTACCTGGCTCGTCGTTCAGGGTTTTGGGGGTTTGGGGTTTTGGGTCTTCGGTTTTGGAATTTAGAGGTTTAGGATCTAGGGTTTTGGGGTTTTGGTGTCTAGGGTTTTGGGGTTGAGGGTTTAAGGGTTTCCGGGTTTGGATTAGGGTTCAGGATACGCGGCTCATCCTTCTGCCCCCTTACCTCAAGCAAGCTCAAGGAATGGACAAGGGCTACTATGTAGGGGCTTAGGGATAATAACATACAGAATGACACTACAGATGATGGCTTACCTTTGGTTAGCAGAGAAAGAAGGCCTTGAAGTGAACATTGAAACTACTAGAATGCCTGGGCTTGTCGGTGTGGCAGCCCAGGTGATCCACCACCCGAACGAGGTGCTGAATGGACGCCCGCCTTTTAGGGACTTGGGGCTCTGGCAGTGTTCTCAGTTTGAGTTGTTGGGGTTGGCTGACTTGAGCCCCAGTTTGGTAGGAGGCGCTGCAGGGATATGGGGTGTCGCTTCGCATGTGCAATGTCATCTTGCAGCATGAGGCAAGCATAGTCGCTTTGTCTACCTGAGTTAGCTTTTACGCTTGCCGAAGGGAAGTCACCTTCCACAAGGCCTAGGAAAGATACACTCCTACTGGTAGCTCTTCTTTTGGTACTTCTTCGCCATCTGCGCTGTTCCTCTGTCCTCGTGCTAATGAGTATGATCCTCCCCCTGCCCCGAGTCTCCCTAAGCCCTAGAACCCTCCAGGAATGAACGACTGGTGCAAGAATCAGTTTGGCTGGGACAGCGCGACCCAGCAGGCCAAACCGGGCAACCTCGCTGAGCAGGCCGCCTGTGGATCGCAACAGTACCGAATGAAAATTGAAACATTGGAGGGTCGCCTTAAAGGGAGCATGCTGTAGGGATTGTCTCCATAACTCGCCTGTTTTCCTGGAGGCACCAAGGAAAGCGATTCTGAAAGAAGTCCCTTCAACAAGGCAATAGATGAAAGCCAGTAGCCGATAATTGACTGGCTTGGAGTCCCTGACTGGTGCTTCATTGGAGTGGGGGAGGATATAGTCCCCCTTAAGTGGATAGAATATGGGGTATATGGGGATCGTATTATATTATACCCAAAGCCATATTCTATCTGCTTCAGGGGGACTATATACAGGTACTAATGTAAGGGGATAAGTAGACACCATTGTAGGGATCCACTCCCCTCCTCCCGAAGCACCAGTAAGAGGAATGGAACTCAACAATGCCTAGCAAGTGCTCTAGGGTGGGAAGCTGGCTGAACCTACATGAGTCCAAGGTTGTTGAAGAAAATGATTGAACACGGCTGACATGAAACATCAAGATATTTTGGGAGTTGCGGCCCATAGCCATTACTGAACCCAGGTTATCCGCGGGAAGTTTTTCCCAAGATGAGATATGCCTCGAATTTGAGAATCAGAGCCCCCATGAGAGGTGCAGAAGTCTACAGTCAGCCTCGCACAAGCAGATCAGATGCTCCACGAGTTTCTTGCCAGGCCTCTACTTGGTTTAGGATTTAGCGTCGAACGTGTAGGGCATTCTGGCCAGTGGCCAAAGGATCTGGGTGGTAAGCTAGGGCTATAAGGTATTGGGGCAATGCTGCAAGTATGTTTATGAAACCATTATTCTCACAATCATTCCTTCAAAGTACTCCCTATTCTCAACCCTGCAAACCTAGACCCTAAACCTCTGAGAAGTCGCCAAGTATCATGGGCCTCAGTAGTGCTTCAAGATGCAAAGTGCTGACCAAAAAAACAGCCGGCTTGGCAGAGCCAAGGCAAAATTGCTGCAATACCGTTGATGGACGGAATTTTGCATCACCCAAGTTGTTGAATGTGCGGAAGTTATAGCACTTAAAGGGACCGTAAGTGGTGCAAGATTCCTAGGTCTACAATGGAAGGCGACCAGGCAGAGATAAGGTCCCGAGCTGTGCTATGGGGGCTATGTAGGGCGTGATTTTTTTAGACAGTCGTGAGTGACATCGCTCGATAATACCCCAAATGAATGGCACGTGTATAGAAGGGTCCCACAGTGGCTTGCTTCTAGACTTCGGATCTCACCATGCTAGCTATTAGTAGGAAATAAAGGAATGGAAAGGAACATGCAGCCTACTATTTTATTGCAGGTTCTAAAGGGGCTACTATATGGCTACAGGGATCTTGACCTCCGTTCCCTGCTAGAAACCAAAAAGTTGGGAATACTCAGCAGATATTGTACACTAGAAGTCCCCCAATCGAACTCGGACAGAAAGGTTTGCATGTCTAGGTTTGCTCGAATGGACTCCGCGGCCCAGCGTGAGGATTATCGTGAGGGCGTATACCTTGCTTCATTCCATACTTACTTACTTACCACATGTTGGGACTATATAGCCCCAATGAATTTTAGTAGTCTCCATTTTCTAATCCATTATCCTTATATAACCCCAATAAAATAGTCTGAGTACTCTGAAAAAGGGGAACTACTTGCCAGGCACGTAAAGCAAGGCAGGGGCGTTCTGGCCGGGAACACTGCCCTGCACTGAGTGGGCTGGGATTTTGGCTTGGTTTAGGGTTTATAGTCCCCCTTAAGTAGATGGAATGTGGCTTTAGGTAAATTAGAATAAGATCCCCATATACCCCATATTCTATCTACTGAAGGGGGACTATAACCCGTTAACTCAACTGCCCACCGCTTAGTAGTCTTAATCCCTAAAAACTAGATGTAAACCGCTGAGCTTTATTCAGCCAATCAAACAGCGCTACAGGATGGGTCCGTGTGCAGCTGTACAGTGGTGGGTTGGCGCTTCCGAGTTAGGCAGTCAGGCGGGATGTAAGGTTTGGGGCTGGGGCCTCCGGATCAAAATGTGGCTTATGGATCAGGTCTTCGGGGTTCCTGGCCGCAGATTTCGGGGTGTGTAGGGTAAGAACAATTTTAAAGCATAGTCTTTGGCGCCTGCAATGGTTTTATTAGGGGCCCGTTGTCACCGGCTCGGAAATCATTGCCCCTCGACATCCGCTGCGAGTTGGCGGATTGATACCAAAGGTTGTCCTTGTACAATCCCTAAACGGTTTCCACTCATGGTCCCGTACCCCGTGTGTCATTCCCAAGTAAGCAAGCATGAACAAGGAATTGATGTCGTCGGAGTCGTTCAGCTCAGGTGCATATGGACAAGCGCTTTCTGGACAAGTTCTGTCCCAAATTTACTGGTCACATGCACTACCGGCTGGTGGATGTAAGCACTATCAAGGCTGGGTCGGCTGTCACTTGGGGGGAGTCTCCACAATGACCCCTTTGTAAATCTGAATAGGGACCCCATAGAATCCTCTGTGGCATCCCCATATATCATCCCTAGAGTCTGAAAGGGTACCTCTGTATTTGGAGCACTTCTGTAGGACACTTATGAGTGGTTGTTGGCGCTGCTGCCATCCGCAAAGGGTTAGAAAACACATGTGGTCTTTGATCCGTTTTGCTAAGAGGAACTGCCATGGAGTCTTGTTTTAGTCCAATGGACGAGACAGGGTATGTGCAATTTAGCCCAGCAACGGTCACAGCCTCGAACGGCTTTGCAAGATCCTGCGTGTAGTATGCAGCCTAGTATGCATGAATGGGCGGTCACTGTCTCTGAAATGTGACATGGTGGTGTTGATCGGGTTGGAGCGAAAAGTGCGCAACGTCGGGGCGAAGATATTCAAGATAACTTTGACACCATTGGCCTGCGCGGTGAATCCATGAAAGGAGCTGAGCCGCAGATGGTTTCCGACAGAGTTCAGTCGCTCGTCCAAGTCCATTGCATTTCAGGGCTCTATATGTTGGAAGACCCTCAGATGAACAAAGGCAGAGTCTTGATGGGCAGGCAACATCCCGGCTTTGCTAAACAGTTTCTAAAACAAAGAGGTCCCAAAGGTAGGTGGGAGTCCTCCTCAAGGTGGTTTCTTACTCTTGCTGGGACTTAGATGTCAATGGTGAGCTTGGGGTTTTGGATCTCTCCAAGATGAAGTATCTTGGATGTTCAATGTTCAGCGTAGTCATAACCCGATTATACCTGTACTTTAGCCCAATCATAAAAGCCCCAAGTTCCTGAAAATGGTTAGAAGCGCGTGCTGTAATTCGTAAGCCCGCAGCCCCTATATATATAATCACATATATATATATATTCTTATATGGATATATATATATGTATATACAGATGTATACACGTACACATCCCTGTATATCCCCAAGTTTGCATTCAATTTTCCATTTGATGCCCCCATGGTGCGGTCATACTTATCCCGAACACGATGTAAACCCTACAATTACCCTGAACTTCCATGGTGGGCAACAAGTTGTCAGAGCCATTGTCCAATCCATGCTTTGTTGGGGGGTTTTGGGTTGAGGGATTGGAGTGTATGGGTGCAGTAAAAGTGTAGCATGAAGCCAGAAAAGAAGTCGCATGAAACACCACCCGAAATTGAAATTGCGTTTCCAAGCATCTACAAGGCATCTACAAGGCCTTGAAAGCCAAATCCACATATCAAGGGCCCGAGCGAGAAAAGGACATCATGTGCAATGTCAAGGGGGCAAGCTGTATACACCGATGCACGGAATCCCCACAAGGACGCTCTAGCCACGCCCCCAAAATGGTGTGAGATTGTCTTAACCCTAAACTCCTCTTAAATCTTTGCCTCGTAAACCCCTAAATCTAACCCCTAAACCCGAAACTCCTCAAACCTACATACCCTATATACCACTGTAATTTCTCTATATAGCCCTACATTAATATAATTGTGTTAAAAGTTGTCCTCAGATGCTGCCCCGCGGAAGCGGGGCTCCCATCGAGCTTTGGACGACATCCGCGAGAGCCTGCAGGTCTGGCGCCGCATCGTGGATTCTTGGAGGTTTAGGGTTCACGGTTTACGGTTGTGGATTCTCGAAGGTTCAGGTAATTATGACCCAGTTATTATTGGAATATAGGAGTTGAAAGCGGTATGTAGTGTGTATATATATATATGTATAGATATAGGCGTGCGGGAAACCATGCTTCTTGTGGGACTAAGAACTGAACTAGGAAGCTTTTGACGCCAGGAGTGGTTTTCTAGCGCAGTACTAGCAGAATCCTGTGAAGAACAGCACGAAAACCATTGCCCCCCACAAAACGGTCGTAAGTTCCCTTCCCTGGCAGGAGCTCCAGTACTACAAAGAGGCACCTGCTTGCTGATTCTCATGGTAGCTCATTTGGCAGGCGATGATAGGTAGTTTCTACCCCTCTCTCCCTCTATCCCTCTCTCTCCCTCTCTCTCCCTCTCTCCCTCTTTCGCTCTCTCTCTCTCTCTCTCTCTCTGTTCTTCCACGTTCAGCAAGACCAGGGTTTCTTACGGATGGGTAGCTTGAAGCCCAACTTTCAGAAGGTGAGGTTCACTTCATCTCTATGATGTAGGAATTTTGAGGCCTTTGAGCTCACATGATTTGTATTGCGGTACGAATGGAGCTGGAGGTAGCAGCGTTCAAAGGGCCAAATCTATGAAGGCTCACTCCCGAGGAAAGCCTGTTGTAGGCACATATGAGCTATAGTCTAAAGTCTAAACCCCTACTGTAGTATCCCCCTGAATAACCCCTATACAATTCCCCGATATGATCCCCTAAATAGCCCCCTCTAAGGAGTTTCGACTATAGCTCATATGGGAACGCACGGAAGTCTAAAGCCTATGCGTGAGTTGCAGGCTGTCTTCAAGCGGCCTGGATAGCAGGTTGGACAGGAGGCGTTGCAACGTGAGGGGGCCTGCACGCGAGCCTGGTTGACAGGCAGTGTGCTCCGAAAATAGGAATTGGTACACACCATGGATGGAGGTTGTCTTGCATTAAGATCTCCAATATGCTGTACTTCCTAGGGTCAGAGGTATATAGATCTAGTTCCTCCATCCCAGTAGAGCTAGGGCTTTTGAGAAGCGAGCGAATGGAGTCGGAAAGGTTGGATTGAACCCACCTCAAGCAACTGGTCGTCCAAGCCATAACGCGACAATCTGAGCAAATCCAGATAGAGGTTTCATGGGGCTCTGAGCCAAGGACTATGCGAGCAACTTTGCCTCACTAAGCTTCAGTGCAAGGAGCTGTCCTCCAACTCCGATGTAGCCCTGGAAGATCACCCAAAAGTCGAATCTAGACCTGACCAGCTCTCACCAACCCGCACAGACGTAGCATCAACAGAACATAAAACCCCTAACTCAGCACACCGCCACTGCAGGGGTCGAGCAGTGCAGTAGAAGAGCGCAGAGGAACACCGTGAAAACAAAGCGAGCTCGCTTGCAGCTGTTGATGGTCATTTGCTGGGTAGCCTGTGGCGCAAGGATGCTTGGATGCTTGAGAGGACTGCAGAAGAAGCCTGAGAAGCCCCAGACACATGAGTGTGTGTGTGTGTGTTGCAGGCTCATGCCCTTGTAGCTGTCCCTATGTAGTTTGCGACAATGTTATATAACGGCTCCGCTACACACACGGCTTTTCCTGTGAAAGGGCTTGAATCATCATACTATAACTTAATTGGGGGCTGCCCAAAATAAGGTCCTTTTTTGGGTGTCCCGGTAAAAAGGAGTATAGTATACAGGGGTCTACACTATATTGGGGTCCCCCTTTCGGGGAAACTAATGTAGACCCTTGATTTATAGCCCCACTCCTTGTAAGGGCCTTAATATTAGGGTCCCTATTATAAACCCTGTTAAGGGGTCTACATTACCTACACCTAGAACTCCTACCTACACCTATGTGGGTGGTTGGTCAATTTTTTGTCCTCTTTTTGGATCCCTATTATAATCCCTGTTAAGGGGATAGGGTTCATTCATCACAGGTCTGGGTTACCAATTATTCCCACAAGCTGGGTCAATTCTGTCCTATACGCAGTCCTGCGCGGGGAAGCCCATAACCCATAATCCCTACATATAGAAAAATAAGGGAGCTTGGTAACCCCAAGCCCCAAACTTAGGACCCAGCAACCATCATATGATAGTCATAGGGTCTGAGTTTTGGGTGTTGGGATTCCCGAAATCCTTTTATTACGGTCCTCATGAACCCCCAAAATATTCAGGTGTACTCAAATTTTGAGACGGCCCCATGTGAGTGGGTCATTAGTTGACAAACAGGAATCGACTTTTCAATTGAGCTAGCCAAGAACCACTACATACTTACCTCAGGCATGCTTAGTTTAGGGCTGGCGGCCGTCTAGGGGTTTAGGGAAGGGGTGAACCCTAAGCCCAAAACCCTAAACCCTGTTATATTAGGGGTCGTTATGCGGATTCTGAGCCTGAAAACCAGAGTTCCCAATTCCCCATGAAGCATGAGTAAGTCGTGGTGCGGGCTGCCGCCAAGACGGCAAGCATGCGGCTAAGTCAGATGGGTTTAGGGTTAGGGATTAAGGGTTAAAGCGTTTAAGGGTTGAGTGTTTAAGGGTTACTACAAGGTTCCTGAAAATAATTTTTAGTTTCTGTTACCTAGAATCCTAATACTTAGCAGAAATTATAATTTCTACTGGGGTTCCAAATCCCTTAGAGGTTAAGGGTTTAGGGTTCAGGGCATTTCGTTCTTTGCTGAGGAATGGCTTCTGGACTGCCGAGCGCGCATCAACGTTCCTGAAGATCAGGCAGGGACTGTGTGGAGGAACAGAAGGCTATGGGTCCTTTGAATGTTTCTCCTGGAGTTCATAAGCCATTTTCGAGACTAATGTAACTGTAGCTTTCACTAAGTTCTAGTCAGGACGCTCCTTCAAGAAGTGTGTTTAAAGGAATGATACGGGCATTCGTGGGAAGATATATTGGGGCTCGTCTTGGGTACGAGTAGGGATTATTTGGCTGAGGTGTAGGGCTCGAAGTTGGAACAAACGTCCACTAAAGCAATAGCCCCCCAGATCCTGCATGGCAGGAGATTGCAGGGGGGAGTTTCGAGAACGTGCGTTTGCCCAGTTTTGATGACTTGTAAATTCAAACTCGCAACGCTTGTATGCACTGGTTTGAAAGTAGGTCTCTCTTGAAGCCTCCCTGACATTGGCGGAAACAGTGGTTCAGTTCTTTACAGTGAGTGCACCTTGAAGCGAGGGGTCTCACCAAGGGAGCACGGACATGGGACTGCACTTCGCATCGTGCGGCAATTTAACACACTAGCAAACGTTGACCAGTACAGACAGTCTCTCACGAGTTTGCAGAGACGCACCGTCTGGTAATCTGCATAGTTTAGCCACAATTTTTCTTAGAGGTTAGTAGGGAATAAGGGATTATGTTATAAAGG